ATCTTTGATATTATCGTAGTGACATCAACATAAACATCCTCGCTTTTCAAGACCTGGAAAAGTATTGCATTTATTTTTCTTTTAAAAATACATGTACGTCGGTTTCGTAATTCATTAGGAATACCATTCCAAATTTTATTTCCGAGTCGAGAGAATGAGTTCTTTTTTTTATTCTGATTCGATTGCTGAGTAAAATAATTTCCACCAATTGCAGATCTTGTGTTGTGACTATGTATCTGGTTTACATTTGTAAACATTTTTAATAGGTTTTGTGGTGCTAGAGTATTGGCTATGTCGTGCATCAAAATACTCACAGTTTTATAATAGAGCATTCTTATCGGTAGCACATTTGCATTTACAAATAATGGTATGGCATGTTCTCTGTTTGTTGCAAAGAACATCAGTTGTAAAGCATGTTTTTGAAGAATCAGTATTTTATCCAGATTCGTCTTAGCTGTCTGCCCCCATATAGATAAACCATATGAAATATATGGATGAATTAGTGAACGATAAATATTTAAAAGTGTTGGAAAAGGAACAAAATGCCTCAATCGCGATATGATACCAATAGTTTTACTTATTTTAAGTGTTATATGATCAATATGAAATCTCCATGAGAGGTTACTATCAATCAAAATACCCAAATATTTCACATAATCTTTTTGCTCGAGTGAAATTAATGTATTTGTTTTATAGTCATGAACTTTTAAGTTTGGTTTATAGTTTAACCTTTTTTGGTATGGATGAAATATAACAAAATTTGACTTTTTGATGTTTAATGTCAATTTATTTGCAAGTAGCCAGTCACAAATATATTCTAGTTGTTTATTAACAATAGTTTCGAGAGACTTTAAATTTTTGTCAGCATAAAGTAAATTGGTATCATCAGCAAATAAGAAGAAGTCCAATTTGTTTGAAGAATATTGTATATCATTAACATATATCAAGAATAACAAAGGTCCGAGTACAGATCCCTGTGGAACGCCACACTGTGTCTGTTCTTTATCTGATATATAGTTTCCTATTTGAGTTGTTTGTGATCTACCAATTAAATATGAAGAGAACCAATTATTGATAATACCCCTTACTCCATAGTGATTAAGTTTAGACAATAATATTTCATGGGTAACTGTATCAAAGGCTTTTTTAAGATCTATGAAAACACCACACGAAAAAAGGTTATTGTCCATATTTGTTTGTATTTTGTTCACAATATCAAGGAGAGCATGATTTGTAGAATGACCCTCTCGAAATCCATATTGCGATGAACATAATATGTTGTTTTGGTCAATAAATATTTTTAGTCTATTATACATAAGTTTTTCAAATATCCGATTTAAATTAGATAGTAACGAAATTGGTCTATAGTTTCCTGGTTCTTCTTTGTCATCGCTTTTAAAAATTGGCACGATTTGTGCATGTTTTAGTTGAGAGGGATACATGCCTGTTTCAATTGATGCATTCATAATATTTGCTAACGGTTTAGAAATAATAGTTCTCACGCCTTTAAGGATTGGTGCTGCAAATGAATATAGTCTGTGAGCCTTATTGGCAGGTAATAATAGTATTTCCATTTCTACTTCCAAAGGGGTAACAGCATCAAAGTAAAATGAATTTGTAGGAGAAGGATATTTTAGATATTCACGGAAATCATGCTTAGAGCTAGGCAATTGGTTTGAGAGATTTTGTCCAACTGTTGCAAAGTTGGATATCAGTAACTGTTTCATCATTGTCCTCAGCTGTTATTTCCCTTTCGTTTACTGCCAATAGAGACCTTAAGATACACAACAGGAAACGAGAACGACAGGCCGCCGGAAGTCGATTACAAATCTGGGCATGCGCATATAGTCTTTTCACCCATTGTGTTTCCCCTCCTTTCCCGTCAACTACGGCAAAACATACAATTTCACGTTGTGTGGATTACGTCGAGATAAAATTTAGAAAAGCATAGAAGAAACTGGTATATAAATGAACAGTTCTGTAGTGGTTATCGAGCAAGAGGCCAGCAAAGAGAAGGCGTCAAAGAAACGTCCTAAAACAACGTAAATACTGGATGTTTATTGTTTATGAAATGACTATGCAAATGCAAATATATATTGCATTATTGGGCTTGAAACAATTGCATTCCAATAGCTATTAAAGCGATAATTTTTACTATGGAAACCATTCCTATTTGCATATATGACAAAAAAGCTCTGTTACAGAATAAATGCTGTTAATAATGTATCATATATTGTAAATTTGCATGCAAATTGTATTGATTTGAATATGTGTATGAATCTATGAAGATTTCTTTTTTATTTCTTGCCATTATTATCATTACAAGGTTTGTTTATTATTACAAATATTTAAGGATTTATTTTACCCTGACAGGACTATGTTTTGGACAGAAGAGCATGATCCGATGTTGTGCCAGGAAATATTGGCAGTGGACCCTTTTACTGGGACAAAAAAAGGAACAGTTCAAAGAGGGGCCAAGTGGAAGGAGATTGGATAACCTTATGAAAATAGAAATCCCAAAATTTAAAGTTGACACAAGAGCAGTGAGGGATAGGTATACACTTCTATCACAAAAAGTTAAAAGAAAATTACGAGAAGAAGTACGAGCAAGCGGTATCGACACAGATATGACTGAGGTAGAAGATGCTTTGGAAGACATATTAGAAATTGAAGATGCTTCAGCAAAACAAGTGGAATACGAGTCTGATACTAGAAGTTACTAACGCAAGGAAATGCTGCCTCGCAGCCAAAACTTTGGGTTAGGTTGTTCAAAATCTGTTTATAATCCATGGATAATTCAAAACTAAACAACACTATAATGTTAACTATAATGTTAATAACAACAATAAAAATCGTATTTTATTGTATTGTAAGAATCAACAATATTCTAATTATCTAAAATTAAGAAAACAGTTCTCTGTAATGAAACAGGTCATTTTCTGAGCACTCCAAACGGTAGTAGTTAATAAAAATTAACAAATTATGGGTCATTCCACGGCTTATTTCTCTGACAATATATGTATAATGTGACCCGCAGGGCTACCTCCACACATTTAGCTATTATGCGATTGTCACTAAGGTTAATATGTCACCAATATTCTTAGACACAAAGTCAAGCGTGGTCACCTCTAGAGTAATAACCTGGAATGACTCGCAGTTAATAACACTATTAATAATGGATAAATATAATGCACAAGACCCAAGGACTGTTTATACTATTAACAATGCAAATATAACATTATTATGTATACCATAACAACACTATTATGCAGGGTGTCCCCAAAAACCCATCGAAATAACGTATTGGCAAATTTGAATGCCCTAGCACTAAGCCGAATGCAAAGTGCCAAAGATGCGTAAATTTTTAACAAGGGTGCATATATTAAATTTTGACTTATTAAGAAATTAAAATATCTTTGTAAAGCACAAGATTTTCTGCTCTTGGGAATTTAAAACAGCTTCTTAAACGTTTTTTTATGCATAAAATTTACTTACATCAAGCTTTGATGCCAGTGTGGGTTCAGCAGAGTGCTTCAGCAATACGTTTATTTCAATAGTTTTCGTTTCTTTGGGACACCCTGTACAGGGTGTATTGAAAAAAACGCAACCTCGGAATTTCCCAAGAAATCGACATTGTTTTAAAGACAAAATATTTTAGGCGCCTGGGAATTTAAAATAGCACAACTGTCAAAATTACTGCACATGCGAGTGCATAAAGCAAAATTTATGTGATCTATTAGTGATTCGATTTCAATTTCCAGGGGCCTAAAATCTTTTATGCTTAAGAATTGCAAGGTGATTTCTTAGGAAATTCCGAGGTTGCGTTTTTTTATACACCCTGTATATACCATAACACTATTAATAATGGAAGCGCATAACACTATTATATATCCTGTCTGTCTGTATAATGTTTTTTTACAAAGAACTGTCAAAAGCTACATATCTTGTAAGCAGGTGAACTTATTAATGATCTTATGATACTATACAAGGCTATACAACACTATCCAATGCTATACAAGACTATACAACACTAGTGTATGTAAGGCTATACAATACTATACAACACTATACAGCTTTATACAAGACTATGCGACACTATACAAGAGTGTACAACACTTATGACACTACACAACACTATACAACACTATACAACACTATATAACACTATATAACACTATATAACGTTATACAAGACTATATAACAACATATAAAGGCTATAGGACACTATATGACACTATACAACGTTATACAAAACTATACAACAATATATAAGGTTATACAACACTATACAACGTTATACAAGACTATCAAAATTACAACACTATACAAGATTGTACATGACAAACCATACAACACTACACAACGTTATGCAACACTATACGACACTATATAAGGCTATATGATACTATACAATGTTAATTATACAAGACTATACAACACTATATAAGGCTATATGACACTAAACGACACTATGCAACATTATACAACAGTATACAAGACTTTACAACACTATAATTATAAGGCTATACGGCACCATACCTTCAATTCCATTGCATATTGTTCCTTGCTGACATCGAAACTTTTCTGGTATGCCAAGAACTTCGCTAAAAGAGGTATATCATGTTTTTCCACACGAAATTCTGCTTTTGAATTGACAGCATCAATGGCTTCCAAATCAAAATCATCGTACTCTTCATATGGGAAACAAGAATTTTTTGAAGTATTTAGGTCATACAAAATAACAAATTCTTCATCATCAATAATATCTTTGTCGTAAGCCAAAAGTAAAGCGTTTCTGGTATCTCTGAACGAGCCCATTGCAATATTTACATTGTATACTTTCTGCAAAATTTATAGCATTTTTGTTTATTATAAACTTTCCTGCACCTGTCGTTGTTTCCCGCTGTTTATCTTAAGGACCTGTTGTGCAACACCCGACGGCGTTCTCGTTCCCAGTCTATCCGTGTTTTTTTCTGCCCCTGTCGTTGTTTCCTGTTGCCTATCTTAAGGTCTCTAATATTTTCATGAGTTGCGAGTGGAAGACAGTGAGGTAAACTTTTTCTTTTGTTTCCACATTCTGTACAAACAGACGGGCATACCAATTAGCATTTTCCTGTGACACTCGTTGCCTTACTTTACAGGATTCACATTTGATAGTTTTCCCTGTTCCCTCAACTTTTTTACCACAGGCATTGCAAGAGTTATACTTGTTCAAAGTTTTCACCCCGATGATTGAAACAATTGCCTGCTTTGCAACCAAATCTGCTATAGCCTGGGCTAACATCTGGCAGCACTTCATCAAAGGGGACACACTCTTTGACCTTGAAACCAGATTTAGCAGTGTTGACATAAATCTCATTGGTATAACCATTTTCTTCACTCTTAAGTTTGTGAAAAGGTATGTTTGATCATCTTCTACACTATCAATCCACTCTTCCCACAGAACAGCCTTAATTGCTCCAGTTGGATCTTGCAGGACACACAAGCGCTTTTGAACTGAATCATTTTCCCACTTGACATTTTTTGGACCTGACAGGTGTTTAACTGTGGCTTTAACCAAAACAAGCTGATTAACTGATGTTGTTTTGATTTTCGCTATGTTAACCAAACAACTTGTAGAAGACTCTGCTGGAGGGAAGAATAATGGCTCGTTATGATCCGTAACTGCTGTTGATGACCATATTGTTGAATTTTTCATTGTATTCAAATCGTCGTACTTTCACCGGACTTTTATTCTCCATAGCCTTTCTCAATGGATTGACCTTGTCTGGAGAAAAGCAGATTGCTTTCATGGTTGGCATCTTCTGATGTTTGAAGGGTGCAAGTGGTATAGTTCACTTTACCAGCTTTCTGAACAGCCAGAACATGCACATAACAAAGTATTTCTGGGTCTAAAATTGAGTAAATAATTCATTGTAATCAGGGGCGTAGGAAGCATCAAAAGTTTGGGGGGGGGGGGCACCAGCTTTTTTAGTGGCACTTTAGGTTATTGAAAAGGGCACCTAAAACATTTTAAACTTGGAAATTTCCAAACAAAAAGGGCACCTTTGATGTTAATTTAGTATTTACAGCGACATTAGCTTGTACAAAAAGGGCACTTTTCATCACAAAAAAGGGCACTTTTAGTCCTTTGAAATAATTAGGGGGGACGTGCCCCCCGGTTCCTACGCCCCTGATTGTAATAGGTCTTAGGGCCTGTTTATATGGAAGCCGGGCTGGCCCCCTAAGCGAGACAGCCCTGTAAGCAAGATCTGTGTAGTTATTTTTATAGTAAAAATTATTGTGTATTTATATGAACAAGCGGGCTGGCCCGGTTGTTGAGATCTTGCTTGAAAAAGGCAAGATCTTGCTTACCGGGATGGAAATTTCTCCATATAAACACTCACAAGGGGACTAGCCTGGTTGCTGGGATGAAAGTTCAAAGATACCGCCACAAGCTATTTTTAACAACTGTCAAAACAACAATATTGTCCCGGAAAGCTGGATGAAATTTTCTCATATCAACACAAGAGAAATTCATCTCACTTACCTGCAGGCTGTCTCGCTATGAAGCGGGGCCAGCCTGGCTTCCATATAAACAGGCCCTTTAATAGATAGTTCTTGATTCAAAAATTAAATTTTATAAATATACACAACTGTACTCACTGTTGTTATTCATATCTTATTTTGAAATGCAGTAGACTAAATATTCAATAGTGGACAATAATACCTTAAAAAAATACAGCATCATAAAAACGGTTAGTTATTTTGCATACTTTTATTAAAACGAAATCTAAATGCACTTCAGGTAGGGTTGAGGATGGAACTCTTTATTATATACTGTTCACTGGATATTATAGAGTTCACTGACACCGGGATTCAAAATGATCGAATGAAACCATGCGGTCTGGCGGCAACGGCAAGATATAGTTTTGCATATGCAAAATAAATGCAGATTAATCTGTGTATTGAGCAATCATGATGAACTATTTAGACTCAATACGTTAACTGGCAAAAAAGAACATTGACAAAGTAATTCAGAGCTTGTATAATATATATAAAATTGATTTTTGCATAATATATATAAAATTGCTCAACTTACCTCCAAACATGTGGTCCTCTGACAAGCTCTCCGAAAAAGGACTCAACCACTCAAAGGAGTTCAGGAAGCATCTATAAAAAAATCGCACCCCCTACTTTTTTTTATAAACTTCGCATACTTAAATACCCCCATTTTGAAAATCCGGACATCCATTTGAAAATGCAAGTCGAGATTTGAAACGGCTTTACATAACTCGGCCAAAGACACTGGGCACAAGTGAATGCAAAGAACTTCATGTTACGTCAAGAATAGTCTGAGGGCAAGCAGTAAAAACTGCAGGTAGCCACCTTAAGTGCAAAAATGTATCCTAAACCAAGAAATCCAGCATATTCTACACCTTCTTAGGGTAAAACCATGATTTTACCCAGAGCGAATAAAGCTATGTGGTTGGTTATTCTATTGTTTCATCGATCCACTTTTCAATTGTATTGTTCTATGTAAGTTATTCTAACTACTAGAAAATACATGCATGCAGAAACCCTCGCCTTGCTGACAAAACCGTTGTATTTTCCGAACATGAAGTATCTAAAGTAGTTGTCATGGTAACACGATAATTTTTTAAGAATATTCTTACAAATAAAAATCACCTAAAAATATCACTTTTAATTACAAAATTATCAATTTCCCAACATATTTATGTTAGGTATGTAATTATACGTAATACAAGCTTCAGTTTAAGGTAAAATTCAACCACAAACAATTCACAAAACGTTTTAAAGTGTTCTTTATAAAACTAAACTGCCTTTAACTATTAAATGGCTTTATCGATAAACTTTGAGTTTGCAATAAAATGATTTCAAATTCTCGCTTGCAAATAACTTTGCTTTATTTTTTATTTAAAAAATTCAATATAATAAAAGAGGGAATCAATATTAAAGATACACTGAATTGGGGCCCGATATGCTGTCTTGTTTAGTTGTTTCATATACGCAAAGGCCGTCGGGTTTTAAAGCCATTATAAAATCAATATTTAAAACAAACTTACCTTCGTTAACGTCGGCTCCCTTCTTTTAGCCGATTCTTTCGCAGTTTCTTTCTGAGAGAGCTTTTGAAATTTACAAAATCTTGCAAAAATGCGAGCAAAAATGAAATATATTTGCAAGAAATTTATCAATCATCAAATCAAGAAATGTTTGCTATTTCGCTGTCGTCATGCAGTCGTTATAATGCAAATTTTAAATTGGACCAATCAGTGTCCGCTATTCATGACAGTCCGCCATATATTTGAGATCAGTGAGGATGACCACCCACGGTTGGTCACCCACGCCCGCGATATTTGATGAACTTTTGACTCCTCTAATGCTTTCGTTTCCCCGGGTGTAAATAGCCGGGGGGAATTAGT